AAACAAATATTCGATTTCCAAGTTGTTGCTGATCCTTTCGATTTGTTTGTTTAAATGTTCAAATTTTCTAATTTATGGTGTATACTGGCGTTTATTTCAATTTCATTCCTAGAATCTACAGTCGTTTATTTAACCATAACTATTCCAAAATTACCAATTTATGCGTTTTTTTATTTGCTGTATCTATAAATAAATAAAATAACCGTAATTGAATTTAATCGCCACCAAATTGTGTGTATATTTTTCAATTTACAAGTCGTAGTTTATCTTTGTTTAATCAATTTTAATGATTAATCATAATATTATCCAACAGTTGATATGTGTAGTTAATGATAAGATTTCACCGGCGTTATTATAGTTGTATTATTTAATACCTAAATCTAATTTTAAAAATAGAACTTAAGACAAAAATGGATGTCTCATAAAATCTACAAATATATCCTGCAAAAATCCAGTCCTACTCATTATGTTAAAAATTAATTCCATAGGTAATAAAAATGCATAGTATACAGATAATGTAAAAAACTACAGAATATAATTTAAATACAAATAGCTTACAGGAAAGCATAACACCTAATATGTTACAAGGTTTTAGCATTACAGGTTTATTAATCCTTCATTATTGCCTATAAAGTGTAAATCAGTCGCCAATATTTAATTATCAAGTGCTCCAAGCACATTTCAATTAAAATATCACTCTCGAAGAAATTTCCTTTCAACCGACCAAGCATTATTTGGCATTGGAATTGCATTTTAAACGAACCGATTCCGCGAAATTTCCGATATCATTTACCTAGAATTTAACAAAACAACGACGTACCTAAAGCGTAATTATCAAGTTCCGTTTATTTTCGACGAAATTTCAATACCATTCTCATGCTTCTTGATTGAATTTCAAAGGCGGATTTTCTCGCTTGGGTCGATTTTACACAAGAACAAGCGGACTTCCCGGAGATCCAGTTTTTTTCTCTTCAACGGTTTTTTTTATTTAAAGATCATTGGTTACTTCATTATAAATGTTTGTGCGAATAGTCTATAGGAATTTGGCAAATTATTAAGCATATCTTTGCAAATATTTATGGGTGGTCTATGAGAAGCATAGTATTTACATTAAGTTAAAAAAAGGATATTTATGAAATAACAGTTTAGCACGTTATAACAGTTTTCTTACTACTCGTTTGCAGCTGGCTAGTATTTGGTGTAAACGCCGAAAAAACAAACACTTTAGAGCACCCGATTACTCAGAAATCTATAAAAATATATTTCCAGGACGCTTCATCGCATGACGATAAATGTTAAGATTCCTGGAAAGAGCTTTATGAAATTTCTTGAATGCAATCGATAAATACGAAGAAAATCTAACTAATCATTTGACAAATTTCTCCGACACAAGCGATTCGGGAAACTATAACTGCGGGAAATCACGGATTAATCATCCGCTGTAAGGGGCTTGTTCTTTCCTTCAAAAGGACAATTTTTCAGGATTATATAACCAAAGAAAACCGTAAAATTAAATTACTATCGCTCTAATAGGAGTTCCACTAACGAGGCGCCAGCGGAGATAAGGCAATGATTAACGATCGGAAATCCAAGCAGGATCGCTTCATCGACGAAAACCTATCCGGTTATCAATTCAAAGTTTCTACGTGTGTCACGAACGCCATTAGATTTAATCCGGATCCGGCCCGAGAAGGACCACCGGTCGAACCGAACATCAGGCATCAGGCTTGTTTGTATACACGAATTTCTTTTGTTGAGAAGTGCAGCCGCTTATCGAAAGGATCTTCGACAGATGCGTAAAATGGAGGAGATTATTTATTTAAATGTCACATCATTGTGAATGTGTATGTGAGTTATAACACGTTATATTTATGTATGTCTTGATACCAGTCATAAGAACTTTTTCTAGGTTTTTCAATATTTCTTGAAGTACTTTAGTGATTCTAAGAATTAAATATTTTTAAAAACCATCAACCACCAAAGAGCAACGTAGGTATAATTATACCTAACAATCTCCACAATAATAATAATAATAATAATAATAATAATAATAATAATAATAATAATAATAATAATAATAATAATAATAATAATAATAATAATAATAATAATAATAATAATAATAATAATAATAATAATAATAATAATAATAATAATAATAATAATAATAATAATAATAATAATAATAATAATAATAATAATAATAATAATAATATATACTCCAAAATGTGGTACCTAAGCGATTTTTTGAGCAAATACACAACCATTTTCCCAACAGTATCCCAACAAACCTAATAACTAATTCAGAAATGGTTGTAACGAGATGTAAAATTTAGATATAGCATAAAATTGAAATGAAGCCCTGTAGGTAGTTTTTGTCGCATTTTTAGTGGTCGTTAACAATGGCAGGATGAAACAAACAACGAGTTTTATCGACACGTTGACCGGCAAATGTTGCCACAGTACAATCCTTCATTTTATCTGATCTTTGTTTCTTCGTGCAGTAGAGATGGCGACGGATTCACGGTTTCAAATCGATTTCGGCCCATTCGAGACTTGTTCTTAGCGAGTAAACACGAGTCTGGAATGAGAATACATGCGACAACAAAAAAAATTAAGAGCTATATAAATGATCGTGATCAACAAAGATTAGAAGAGTTAAGTGAAATTGTTCATGGTGTTTTTTGAAGAATGAAGTTGATAGTTTTGGAGTCTATTGAGATATTCATTAGATAAAGTTAGACTTTGCTACTACCCCAAATTAGAGCTTAACAAGTAAGCGAGAATGGCTTACAAGCGACTATAAATAAAACTGATAAATATTTTTATAAAAAATATTTTATGCAACGAAAATTATCTATTTTCTATTTTAAAATTATCTACCTATTAAGAAAGTAGGTAGTACCTATATTTGTTTAAGTTCTGATAAAATCTCTTATCACTAAATCCTATAACTATTGCATAATAATTTTTTTAAATCAGTTATATTAGACGTTTTGTTTTCCCAAAGACCACCTCTAATTGGGTCTCAAATTTCACAAGAATACAACCTTACGTGGGTATTATTTACTTTTTAAAGCACGTTTTAAAACATTTATGAATGAAAGAACAAATTATAATAATTGCGACATTTAAAACGAACAACTAAAAAATGCTCTCGGGTACATACTACATGGAAACTTTATTTTAAAAGAAATCACATTACCCATATTATTAGGATTTTATTGAGACAATCTATGTATCTTACCGTAGTCAATACTGGTATTATGTCGGAACCGAAGTACGACAAACAGAGGATTGTTCAATGGTATTTTGGTATTTTTTATCATCCATCAAACCGGCCCTCCAGATCGATGATCTGTCTTTTCTTTTCATTTTATTTGAGACAAGACCAGACTTGGCATTGCAAGTTTCGCCAATAAGTAACCATTGCAAGTTCGAAATATCAACGCAAAGATAATCTTGGCTTCGTTTCAATTGTCTAAGTAGGTAATTACTAGAAAAATTATTTATAACCATTAGAAGCTAAAGTTGGGTTAATTTCGTTCACATTTGTACATTTTCAACGTGTATTTAAGATCTGTGGTTTTAATATTCAGATAGTGGAATTTATATTTGGTATATTTTTTTCTTGTGCAAAAATTGTCTACTAAAGACTATTTATCTAAGGATAAATTATGTTGCTTAAAGGTGAAAATATCGACTATAAACAATACATGGAGTTTTATCGTAAATATATTAATTGTTTATTTATTAAATCTACCTATAGTCAATTGTTTGTGATTGATGCGACAATTTATAATTCGTGGTTTCGAAAATTATCAGTGAATAAATTTATTATAATTTTATTCCATGGAATATTTGGAGAAACCACCAATTAATTTTCTACAAATCATAGGGGCACCTATAAAAATATTGTGTCTGTTGTAATTAATAACTTTACTAATTGGGTAGGGTTCGTTGGGGCCTAAATGGATGATTTATTGGCCTATAATCAGAAACAATAATTGGTATATACGTTTAGTCAGGCATTAAGTGATTAAGAAAAGCCTTTAAAAATATTTAACTTGTCTATACAGTACAACTTTTAAAGCTAAAATCCGCAGGGGTTAGTACTCAATATGCAGTAAACCTAGATAAGTTATTGTATATGCTAAATTGTCTGTTTTGTTCAAATAATGTAGTCGGAGATAAAAATTTTTAATCCTAGCATAGTAAATGCTACTTTTTCTTTCAGTTCCGTCTTCCGCGTTGGTATTTTACAGTTTTACAATATTCCTAATCTAGCAGTTTACGGTATTACTTCTCAATTATGTGTTTAGATTATCTTTGATGATTGCAAAATTTATCGGCATGAATATAATATTTCTTAAAATAGACATGATTGGTTTTAGGAAAAGATTCAACGCCGCGTGAATGCAAGTTTAAAACAAGTTGAGACTTGTTAGAAAATTATACGAAGTTTTATGAGTAAATAGGAAAATTTAGGAAGTTGATTCATTATAATTAATGTCTATTAATGTAATTTTTTTACTTCTCACCTTTATAGTTAGGAATAAAGTTTAATTGATAAATTTTTCAATCCACGTGGAACAGTAAATAATCATTCCTCATAGATAGTTTATACAGGGTGTAACAAAAAGGTGGGTCTTAAATTAAACCCCAATATTCTGGAGTCAAAATTAAGTCGATTGGAGTCTATTTTTTCAATAACTTCAGAAGTATCTATTCAAAGAATCTTCATGAAATTTGGTAGGTATGTAGATGCCTATTATTTTTATAACAATTCCGATCTACTTATTTTGACTCCAGAATAGGTATGTGGAATAATGTATGATCCATCTTTTTGTTACACCCTATATAATTGATTACCTGTGTAATATATTTTCTTAGAATACTTTAAATGATCCAAATATGTGTATTATATTTTTTTATACTCTTAGTTCGATATGGAACTTTGTCAATTGAAAATTGAGGTATAAAATTTGAAAAAAACTTACCATTCGATGGTCCTGTATCCGTTGGCGCAGCAGCGCAGGATTTTGTGATTGCCAACAATAGCGTATTCCGCGAAAGTGGCCTCCTTGGAAAAACTCATATATTTGTCATTGTTTTTGAAAGTATTCGCACTGCAATCATCGTCCTGCACAGCGTTAATTCCAAGAAGCGCGCACAGCAGCGCGAAAAACTCCAATTTAAAAATAGCCATATCAGTATCTTTCTCGGAAATGATAAGTCAAAACCCGATTGGCATTTTCTCAAACGCGCTCGACTCGAATAACCGCGGAAAATTCAGCGATATCTCGTCGAAAAGGCCGGAAAAGCGAGCGCGCTCCGGCAACGTGTTCGTGTAAACGTGAGTCACTGGCACCTTCCACTGCGATATCTCGGCGACGAATGCCGATTGCCGATTTTCGAATGCTCACAACTCGCAACTCGTTTCGTCTCGAGACTCCCAGTCAGCCGCAACACGACAACAGACAAACAATCGGACGGGATTCGCCGGTGATTTCTGTTTCTGCTTGTTTCTACCTGTCCCGAGCGCATCAAGTGGAGGAGATTTGGGGTCTCGGGAAGCGGCGGATAAACGATACGGGGAAACACCCGATGAGAAGGAAATAAGCCGGTATTTTTACTGTTTGGCAAATTAGCGAGGCAATGAACGCCTTTTAGGCTAATGACAGTCCGGCTTCGATAAGATTATATTTTCTAGATTTACAATGAAGGTTTATCGATTTTTAATGTGGGCATTTAATTAGCAGATTATTTTTAGGTACAATTAGCTTCAATTTATTTGGCTTGTGATGCATTTAGAGGAAGGGATTAGTTATCCCAAGGTTAAATACATAAGAAATAGCAATATAATGTTATTAGTGATTGCATCATTTTTAGTAAAATATTGCATTTTTCCTTAAATTCTTTTGAAATGTGTAAAGAAGAGCCAGGCGTAGAAAAAAATCTAGAAAACGTTGTACAGCGCAAAATTGCACTAAAAATATTAAGTGTTAAAATATTTGCATTTAAAATGGTAATGTTAATTTCTTCATATAATAAAGAAATTCCGTATAAGAGACGAAGAGTGGGCATTCAAAATGATCTTTTAAAGTACATTATAGTAATTATAGTAGATTATAGTAATCTTGTGTAATGCAAATTTGTAAAAGTAGTTTATACATGCCATTAACTAATATGTACAGCGCCACAAGAAAACTTGGAGACGTGACCGGCGCAAATGATGAATAAGCCTATGAGACTGTTGCGCATTCTCTTTCAAGCAAGTACACAACAAAAAGCCAGAACAAATGCGATTTATAGTGCCATCTATTATGGTTCTGATAAAGCTTGTTATGAACTTTTCATTCTGTGCTACATTTGTAACCTTTGTAACATGATAAACCTGATGAATAGGCAACATAAAATACGTTCGGATAAATACTAAGTTTATAGTCTGTGCAAAACAAATATCAATGCACGTCACCTTCACGGTTTGTAGAATAATAATATTAATAGTAGAATAATTCTACTATTCTAATAATTATTCTACAAACCGTGCGTCACCTTAAATTTACTATCTGATCGGCTGACAGCGACAACAATGCAACTTGACAGTCAGTGCATACCAACCTACTATAAGAAAATAATAATTTTACATACAAACTTTGAATTTTGGCAATATATATTTTTTTGGATAATTTTATACTGCTTTTTTTGCATTTTCTATCATCCCTTGTTAATATTAAATAAAATTTTGCAGGTATTAAGCTTAACGTATTTTGTGTATTTATTTTTAAATGTTGGGCACAATGCTCGGTAAGTATGACGACAGTAGTGACGTGCATTGATATTTGTTCTGCAGCGACTATATCAAAATCTATAAAATAATATTTTAGTTAATCAATTTTTAATTCAGTATTTGCATACATCTTCCATTATCTTATATTCTTTTTTGTACTCTAAACTGCTTTTGAATAATTTTTTAAAATTTAATATCCAAAATACCCCCTAGAAGTGGTATAAATTTTTTTATAAAATATGTGTAGGTATTAATAAATATCTGAACTTTTTATTCTTATTCTTACGAGTATGTAACTGTTTCCCTTTCTCTCTTCTCTTCCAGGAGAACTGGAATAGTTGGAAATGAATAACCTGCATCCTGCATTTCATGGAAAATTTTTGCGATGCACTACTAACATCAATAACAATCGTGAAGTTGGAAAATATTCCTTATTTTAATTACTTTATCGTCTTTATGCTAAGCGATGGATCAGTCAACTTGCTTGCAGTCAACATGTAATCTGCTCATGAATAAAAAAAAAATTTATGCGTGCAAAATAATTAAAAACTGAGTAAAATTGTAACGCTGGTTATTTTGTTTGTCGATTATTCCTTTAGAGTTCAAGAAACTGCCGTCCTCGATATTTTACCCTTTGTAAGAAGGCGTAAATGTCCCGTTCCTGGAAGTATAATGTTTTGATACAACTACCAGTCAAAATGTATTTCTTAATTAATATAATTTCGTAAGTAAGTTGTATCTTCTTCTTATCGAAGCCGTTGTTTATCATACGAGGGCCAATCTCTAAAATGAGGTATTTATTACGTTACATGACCTTTATGAAACATTTATAATTTTGTGATATTTATCAATTCCAGTTGAAACAGTTGTACCATCAGTATACATTTTTTTAATATTCATGTATTTTTAAATATACATATACCGGGTGATTGGAAATGATTGCTATGATTTTTTAAAGGCTGCTTATATTTTTATTTTACTACTTTACGAAGAACCTTGAATTGCCCATACATACATGTATTATTTACCTGTTCCAAAATTGTAGTAAATTTGCTTTTCTATTTGAAAAGAATTTTAAATTAGTATTGATTGAGATATGTTAAACTTATAAATTGTAATAATTTTAATTTCATACAGGGTGGCACATTAGTATGGAAAAGCTCAACATAACTCTGTTATTGTAGAAGATATAAAAATTATATTATATAGAAGATATAAAATTTCATTACAAAAGTACTTTAGTTCTATTTTTTTAAATTGAAATATTTCGAAAAGTATTAAGTTTAGGAATAAGGAATGTTTAAAAAGAATGAAAGTACTTCAAATGCTTCCTGGTAACGATATAAAATATAGGGTGATCAATTAAAAATAACCAATCCGATCAATTAAACCGATCAATTAAATTTTGGGTTTGGTTCCATCCTGTAAGGGGTATGATTAAAATTCACCAAAAACATTCATTTTGTACATTTTCAGGAAATTTGTAATGTTATGAAACCTTAAATTTATTTCCAAGTCAATCCATTTAGTTTCTACAGAGAGGTAAACTTCGTACGATTTTCATGGAAATATTGTGATAACTTTTAAACCACTTAGTATAACATTATACAATATTATATTTTTGGAATGCTGAAAACGAGCTAAATTCAATTTTTGAATAAAAAACAGGTTGTTCGATTTAAAAAAGTATAAGTTTGGTCTACCACCGAAAAACGGGACATTCTTTATAAGTGTAACAAATTTTAAAATATGCTGCTTTAAAAGATCTACAACTTGAAGATAATATTCAATAATTGATATATAGATCAGATAATTGAAGATTTATTGATAATTTATTAATAACAGATATATTGAGCTTTTCCAAACTAATGTACCACCCTGTATGTAGGAGTAACAGGACTAAAATCTAAATACCTAATGAACCTTCAAAAAATATAAAGTATATACTAACAAAACAATCTTTTTACTACTTGAAACAATAGATTTATTCAAATATTGTAACAACATTTGCCAGTTTATAACACATATTGTAACACAAGTAGGAACTTTAGTACATTTTTTTCATTAAATGTTGTGCAAAATTAAATATAATAAGAAATCCTCTTGATAAACTAACTTTTACTGGTATTACACAAGCTTGTTTGATTTGCAATCTAAAGTCTGGGTGACGTAGAAATTCGAGTATTTGAGTGAATTTTTGCGCGGTATAATTTGCATAAGCATTTGATAAGTATAAATCCATGCCTATTAAATAATATCTGCTTGTAACTACACCTAACAGGCATATCATTGCTAAAATTTTTAATGCAAATCAAACAATAAGAATGACAAATTAATTTTAAAAACTAAGATAATATTTCTGTAGCTTAAAATGCGTTTAAAATAGAAATGTGCTTGTCATAAGGGCTAAATAAAGTTATCTTATGTAAAATGAAGTTTGATGTTTGATTGCCTGGGTTCTAAAAAAATTTTCAAAGCATCTTACACTATTTTTGAGGCAAAGTCTGTTGAAAAATTCCAATTTTTAAAAATTCATATCTCTCTAATCGGCTTCAAAGCAATGTGTTTACGACCAATAATTTCAATTATTTTCTATTTCCTTGGCTGATAATTTTCGATCATGTTCGTTAATGTTCGTTAATAATTTCGTAAAAGTAATTATACCTGTTATGAAAACATTTTCAAAAACACCGGCAGAAATTTATGTAAAGCACTAAATTTATCTTCGAACATTTTTCCATAATGGAGGCTCGAAATAAGTGAATATTTTTATTCCTTTCCTGGAGTACTATGCAAATTCATAAATTTTCGCGGAAGTTTCTACATATGTTTCTCGGATAACAAAACCATGAAATTTAAATTAAATGCCAGTTATAAAAACAAATAAATTACGGAAGCTTGAAAACTGCAGTTTTTTCATTAAATACACGGGTACCTATAGGTATTATTAATGACATTTCATTGAAATATTTTACATTATACCTTTATAGATATTTTACATACTTACCTACTGAATAAATTGGGATTTTCTCAGAATAACGTATTTCATAATAAAAATTTGGTGGGTTTCTGTACCTAGTTAAGTGATTCTCATTAACTATACAAGTATTGAACTCTTAATTATTCCGTTAAAAATTGAAGAAATAATTTGAGACAAACAGGAAACATAATTTTAAGATAAATTATTGAGGATATAGAACTTTTGTTTTTATCAATATTTGATACATTACTCTTCCTTCTTCACATTTATTCAATATTGAAGTATTTATACGTAAATGGTAATGAACTAGAAAAATGTTGTCCTTTTTGAAAAAAGAGCATTTTTCAGGAATAAATGTGATTACCTGTAACCCTGAATAAATGAACATGCCCCTGAATAGGAAATTTACATTTACATTTACAGCCAGAGTATCTATAATATTCAATTTATTCATCATTTACGTACATATGTACGCTTTATGTACAAAATGCTTCAACTAATTAAAATATATAAATAATTTTGTATGTATTTCGGTCGTAAATACGTTTGCGAGTTTTAACGTGCATTATCTTCAAAGCGTGAAATCACGGTAATTTTTTCACTAAGCACGTCTACGTAAAAGGTAACGTTTTAATCGCTTTTCAAAAGCTAAACGTTTTTATAGATTCAAATTTATAAAGTAGGTACTAGTGGGTAATAATGAGAAACAATGCACTGAAAAATTCCAAAACGTCCCAGGTCGATACTTGGGCAATACCCATCGACTCGGTGGTATGTTAATAACATAAGCGTCAGTGTTAGGCATTTTACAAGTTTCTTTATCTGTGCTAAGTTAAAATAAGCACACCAATGAAATTCTCATTTATTAAATAAAGTACTTTCGTCTATAACATTATCATAATATTAAAATTAATAGCGCTTTACGTTGCGCAGTTTTCGTTGTGGAGTCCGAGTGATAGTGTCGTTTCCCTCGGTAATGAAACTTTAGCTGTGTCGCAAATTGCAATAAAAGATGGATGGGGGATTCAGATTGAAAAATGAAAATCCTAAGAAAAAGGCGAATTTCATTACGAAATTATTTTTCGGGTAAGTTTAGCTGAATTTTAAAAACACTAAAAATAAAAAAGCTTCTTAATATAACTTAATAAGTTCACTAATAAGTTCAACATAATTTTCAAATAACTACTAATATTTTATATGAAGCGTTGGATACAATAAAAATCTGTAAAATATATTATATGAAATAAGTTATTGAACAAATTTAAAAACCTATAAGTAATGCAACATTATAAATATGAAAAATTAGACCAGTGACAGACACTGCGTAAAAGTATTTTTGTTAAAATTTAGTTTCGAAAAATTTTCGGTACTCTAAATTACCTTTAATTTATAACGATTATTATTTACGACCATAAATTATCAACATAAATGGTTAAAAACAGTACTAATTTTTTTTATAGTTTCTGGAAAATAAATATGTTTAGACAAAATACATGCATTACTGTATTAACTACAGTATTAACATTAAAATAACTAATTAGGCTGTAAATAAAATATAGTTTTAAGTTATTTCTTAATAGCGACCTTTATCTTTGCATTAACTTAATCAGAAAATTCATATTTTTATCTATAACTTAGATAATTAAAAAATTATGCTCGAGTCATAGGTGTAATTCAAGCAAGTATCGAAATGAAGAAAATAAATGTAAATACATTATTTTTCCATAAATATCAAAAGCATGATAGAAATAGAAATGAGAAAAGAAAAAACAAGAAATTTAATACAAGAATTAAAGGCAGTAGGTATTTACAGGCAAATTATTTACATTTAAAGTATTTACATCTGAGAAGGAATATAAGTTTTTGTATATTTTTCATTCTTGTTTTAAGTACGACTAAATTTTAGTCCAATAGTTTATTGTGAACTTGAACCCAACAATCTTTTTACGAATTACATTCATGTTACGACTAATTTTAATAAATAAATACGTAATTTCTCTCATTAAGATAGGTTATCTTCAAAAATGTTATGTCTGATAGGCAAAGAAAAATATATTCGTTAAAAAACTTCATTAAAAAAATATAACAGACTAGTATTGGCTCATATACATATGTATGTACATACATATGTTTGTATGTACGTAGTATCCCGCTGGCTATACAAAACAGTTTTCCAAACAAAACTTCAATACAAAATTCACCCCAAAGGATTTAAAAGTATTCAAATTTGTCGTAGGTCTAGGATCCAGAAATTCACAAGATTAATCATTATTTACTGATAGCCGAGCTTGTATGTTATTAATAAATATTTTATTCCAATAAATAATACGTGTGGGAAAGAATGGTAAACAAACACCGATTGCTCTATTTTTCGTGGATGTTAGGTCAGATCAAAGCATTAGGTCATTTAATTCTTGCCTTCTTGTTCTATTTATATTTATCATTCAGTTTATATAATTTCTTGTCGTCTGTAAATATTTCTGAATGAGGATTACATAATTTTTCAAGCAATTTTTTATTTCATGCAGATGGATGATAGGAGTAATAAAAACCGGGACAAAACATGGGCTAGAAATAAAAGATTTATTTAAAGCAATGGAGAAGGATAAATCTGAAAATTTAACAGACCGCCTAGACAAATATTGGACTAGCGAAGTAGCTAGAGCCAGAAAACTAAACAGCAAACCTAGTCTATTGAAAGTTATCTTCAAAACATTTTGCACCGAGTTCATGGGCTTTGGGGTGCTATGGTTTCTTTTACACGCCGTTTTATGGTATGCTCAATTTGTAAATGTTAATAGAAATTTATTAATGGTTATATTGAAATTCGTAGGAGTTCCCAACCACTGATTTTAGCCCATTTAATTTCATTATTTAGCGGGCCATACGATAAAGAAAAGCAAACTGAAATGTACATAACAGGAGCAGCGCTGATTAGCATTTCAGCATGTATAATATTCTTGTATCACCATTGCACTTTCGGAATGTCCTGCATTGGTATGAGGATAAGAATCGCTTGCTCTTCTTTGATGTACAGAAAGGTATCACATAACCCTTCTGTTTTGTCTACATCGTATCATTACTCATTAATTATCAATTTTTAGATAACCAGGTTAAATCAAAAATCTCTCGGCGAAACCACTGCAGGATATGTGGTAAATTTGCTGTCCAATGACGTGAACCGCTTTGATTTAGCCATTTGGCCACTGCATTCTCTATGGGTAATGCCTTTCCAGGTACCTTATTTAACCTACATTATTTGGCAACAAGTCGGAGTTTCTTCATTAGCAGGAATTGTCACTATGGCAATTATCGCTTTACCTGTACAGGGTATGCATAAACCGCTATTAAAATTAACCATACTTTGTTATAATACCAACGTAATTTACTTTTAGGTTACTTAGCGAAAGTGTTAGGAAATTACAGAGATATAATATCCAAAAAGACCGATAAAAGAGTGAAACTGATGACAGAAATTGTAGCAGGCATCCAGGTTATAAAGATGTACGCATGGGAGAAACCGTTTGAATACTTGGTTAAGCGAGCCAGGTTAACAGAAATTAAAAGCATCAAAGTAGCATCTTATATTAGGGGAGTGTTCAGTGGTTGTGTCATATTCCTTGAAAGACTAACATTATGTCTAACGGTTATTTGCTACGTCCTACTAGGTAATTTTAACACGATAATTTTGATATAAAGACTGGTATGTAACAAGTAAATATTACAGGAAACACTATAACACCTTCTATAGTATTCTCTTTGGCTCAATCCTTTAATATTCTTCAATTCGCCATGGCTATTCTGTACCCTATGGCAATCAGTCTTGGAGCCGAAGCTTACGTCTCAGTAAAAAGGATCGAAGAATTTATGCTTTTGGAAGAAAGAGAATCTTACACTGTGGCTGAATTAAGGGAAAAAGGAATAATTTTGCAATGCATCACGGCATCGTGGACTGAAAGTGGACACACAACATTGGACAACATAAATTTGCAGATCCCACCAGGTATCATTTGTGCCATCGTTGGACCAGTGGGATCTGGAAAGAGTTCAATTTTGCAGGTACATAATTACCGCCACATTAACTGCTTTATTTAATAAATTGCCATTTTGTAGTTGCTTCTGAAAGAGCTCATACCAAAATCGGGAAAAATTAAAATCGGAGGCGAAATGTCCTACAGTTCTCAAGAACCGTGGCTGTTCCAATCTTCCGTACGAAGCAACATTCTCTTCGGGCAACCCTACAACAAGACCAGGTACGATCAAATCGTGAAAGTGTGCGCCTTGGAGCGCGATTTTGAACAGTTCCCGCACCGAGACCAAACGATAGTCGGCGAAAGAGGAGTTTCACTCAGCGGCGGTCAAAGGGCCAGAATTAACCTAGCTAGAGCCGTCTACAGAGAAGCCGATATATACCTTATGGACGATCCGCTGTCTGCTGTTGACACTCACGTAGGCAAACATTTATTCGACGAATGCATTTACGGCTACCTCAAAGGGAAAACTAGAGTGTTGGTAACGCACCAGTTGCAATATTTGAAGAAAGCGAATTTGATAGTGGTTCTTAACAATGTGAGTAAGACCCTAATGTTTGGGATGTGATTGCTGGGAATTCATTTTTTTTAGGGAAAAATTGAAGCACAGGGAACCTTTAACGAGCTTTTAGAAAGCAAGTTAGACTTTACCAAATACTTAGAGGACACAGATGAAACTGAAAAACCAGATAAACCAGAGGCGGTGAAGCAAATCGAAGTCTTGAAGGATTGTAAGAAATCAGAGAGGAGGCCTTCCATAATGTCAGTACTTGTAAGTCAATCAAGCTTCTCCTACAACTTTAAATGCTAAAGTGCATCTACATTTTTCTATTTAAGTCCCAAAGTACAGATTTCGCTGTACAATCCCAAGAAGAGGAAGCTGGAAATGATCCCAATAGCAAACCTTTCAAAGATTACCTCTTAGCCACAAGAAACTTGTGCCTTTTGGTATTCCTGGCTGCTCTAATGGTCATAGCTCAAGGAGTTTGTGCAGGAGCTGATTTTTGGGTGGCACTTTGGTAAGTTGATTCATTACTTAACATATTTTTAGCTATCTTATGACACTAGATCACCCTCATGTTTGTTTATTCTCAGGACAAAGCAAGAAGATATAAGGCACTCGCCCAACTCGACAATCTTACGAAACGACCACGTGGAAATTTTCCCCTTCGGACAGAACCGTAGTGCCAATCTCAGTCAAACAGACGTATACAGTCTCGAAGAAAGAAACTCCAATACCCTAGGCATCAATTTCGACGATTTCTATGACTACGTGATAGTCGATAACAAACAGCACAGTTTAATTAAAACCAATTACGCCATGTATATTTACGCAGGAATAATTATCGGAGCCGTTGTATTAACTATCAGCAGATCGTTCTTGTTCTACAAAACTTGCATGTTATCGTCGGTCAATCTGCATTCGACGATATTCCACACGCTATTGAAAGCGCCTATGAGGTTTTTCGATACGAATCCGAGTGGGAGGGTTTTGAACAGATTCTCTAAAGACATGGGCGCTATAGACGAAGTTTTGCCGAGAGTTTTGATGGATGCTTTAGGGGTGAGTGCATTTCATTTCATTACTTTTAGCAATAACTGTTATTTTAAAAATTGTGTATTTTCAGATTGTCTTAGTCATGTGCGGTATTTTGATAAACGTTTCCATATCCAACCCTTACATAATTATTGCCATTATAATATTAGGAGCTGTATTTATGCTCTTCAGAAAGTGGTACATAAAAAGTGCAAAAGTAATTAAGCATTTGGAGGGAATAGGTAAATTAAAATATCTTATTGAAATGACTTGATGATCACAAATTGTTTTGTAGCTAAATCGCCAGTGTTTTCACATGTCAATTCAACTCTAAATGGCATCATTACAGTAAGAGCTTCGAAAGCAGAAGATATTTTGATGGACGAGTTCGATGACCATCAAGTAAGTTTTACAATAAATTAATCGTATTTTTATTTCTACTTCTATTTTTTGCAGGATGCGCATACTGGTGCTTGGTACCTTCTTATAGCTTGCATGAGCTCTTTTGGCCTTTGGTTGGATATGATTTGCCTCGTTTTCACCTTCACTGTTACATTTAGTTTTATTTTCCTGCACAGTCGTAAGTATATCGTATTTTCGAACCTACTTAATTGAGTGCTTAAATTGTTCCTCTTGCAGTATCAGCAGTAGACGGAAGTATGGTAGGACTTGCGATTTCCCAATCAATGATCCTTACTGGAATGTTACAACATGGAATGCGACAAACAGCCGAAGTGGTCAATCAGCTAACGAGCGTTGAAAGAGTGTTGCAATACACCAGCATTGATCAAGAGGGACCTTTCGAGACTCCACTAGGTACTACAAAATTGTTCTATTAATTACAATATTTTCATGCGCATGTATTTTAGAAAAAATACCGAAAGAAGAATGGCCTCAAGAGGGTTTAATACAATTCCGGGACCTTTCTCTAACGTACGTGGAAGATGAACCTCCAGTGCTGAAGAAATTAAATTTCACCCTTAATCCCGGAGAAAAGGTACGTTGTAAATTTAATGCTACGGTCAGTTTGATGAGATTTTATTTATTTAACTTCATAGATCGGGATTGTTGGACGTACAGGTGCAGGCAAGTCCTCGCTAATAGCAGCTCTCTTTAGATTAGCTCCTCTCGAAGGATCTATATTGATAGATAACATGGACACTAAGGAATTCGGATTAAACGATTTGAGGAAAAAGATTTCAATCATACCTCAGGAACCAGTACTGTTTTCGGCTACTTTGAGGTACAATTTGGATCCATTCGGCGAATTTGACGACGCAGAAATTTGGAAGGCTTTGGAACAAGTAAGGAAAACACTTCATCATAATTACAAGTGTACCAGCGGTGTTTTTTAAGGTCGAATTAAAAGAGGCAGTCGACTCACTAGACTTCATGGTGGCGGAAGGAGGCGGTAATTTTAGTTTAGGTCAAAGACAGCTGGTGTGTTTAGCTAGAGCTGTGCTCAGAAACAACAAGATTCTTGTCTTAGATGAAGCTACTGCTAATGTAGACCACAGGTAATGACTTAAAAAGTTTATAATCACAACTTCAACTAAATCTGCTCGATTATTTGTTTAAGAACGGACGCTTTTATTCAATATACGATTCGAAAACGGTTTAAAGACTGCACAGTGCTCACCATTGCACACAGATTAAATACCATTATGGATTGTGATAAGGTAATGGTGATGAGTTTCGGGAGTATGGTGGAATTCGATCACCCTTACAAGTTGCTGGAAATACCAGACGGGTATTTCGTGAAGATGGTAGAGGAAACGGGGCCGGTTATGACCATGCAGCTCAAAGATATCGCGAAAGAAGCTTACCTAAAGAAGCATAACGCCTTGGTATTGGAAGAAGGAGTTACTAAACTTTAATAAAATATTGAGATATATACCATAAGTGTACATAATTTTCTCGTCGATATGTAGAATGTGTCTGCTTTCTTTATGTTTTAATGTTGCATGCACAGGAGAGAAATGAATAAGAAGGACTAGTCGTATGTACTTTTAATAAATAAATTTATAATGAACGTGCATTTTTTATTTAAATTATTTACTTTAGATAAAAAATGTCGACTTGTCATTGTTTTGGAAGACAAATACACATTGTAAATAGAAAGTAGTGGAGTTTATACATGGTGTTCAAAAATGTTAGAAGAAATGAACATTTGAAAAGTAAGATTTTTAAAAATTGTCTTTCGGGAAATTTTATGCTTTTAACTATGAATGGGAAAAAAACTGGTGAATCATCATACTTATTATGTTGAATTGGGTCACCAAATATAAATTACCTTTATAATTACCGTCAGGATGTTAAATAAACTTTTTTTAGCGATGCATTCAGATTAATAAGTTCTGAATTCTAAAAATATCTTCTAACTTACAGGGTGACACATAAAAGTGTAATAGATAACTACATACCTTATATATTATGCTTTGGACATTCTTTATTTTGGATTATACGAATTTAATAAAAAAATTAACTTTGCTTTTAACATTGACTTAAATTCAAGGACAGTTCATCTTGATCTAGGTAAAATAGAGTAGGTAATTAAATATTGTATAATTACATAATGTGTTATCTGTTCAATTTACTCAAGCCTTATTTAAATCATCTAACAATCTAACTGAAGACGTAGAAGGAACGATTTACATAGATTTATCATCACAGAGACATAAATGTTTATCTTGGTTATCAATCTTAATGTATTTTGCATACAGTCTTAATGTTATTGGACATGAATCTGTGAGCCCAAATATGATTTAATTTACATATTAAATTCTCTAAGAAATAAAAAAAACTGACTGAATGAAATAAACTATCCTACTACAGAAACGATTATTTATTATATGTAGAATCACCTTGTAGTGGCATAAATTTATTTTAACACACTGTGTCTTAAAAATAGAATAGAGGCGATCTTGTATTCGCTATTTGAGTTTGGTGAACAACGGTGTTTAATTAATATAATAAAATTAAACAAAAACTGTTAAATATGTATTAAAGAGACAATAGATATATCGAATTGTTTGCTTAGTTTAACTTTTGTTGGAAATTTTAACCACTTTTCTTTAGAATTCGATATAGAACGTTAATATGGATTTAGGTTATAAATTAAAAATAGAAAATCCAAGAAAACGCGCCAATATCTTCTCGAAGGTTTTCTTTGGGTGAGTGAAATTTAAATATTTTTTATGACCTAATACATAAAAGTGAATAAATTATATTCCAGATGGCTCGTACCACTTATTCGCCAAGGATGGAAAAGAACCTTAGACTTAAAATCCCTATACAAAGCGTTAGATGCAGATAAATCAGGAGACCTGGCAAATCGTGTGGATAAGAATTGGAAGGAAGAATTAAAATTGTCCGAAGAAAGAAAGAAAACGCCCAGCTTGTTCAAAGTTGTGGCGAAAACGTTCTATGTTGAATTCATAATTTCGGGATTGATGTGGTTTTTCGCAATAGGCGTGCTCTCGTAAGTTACATTAGAGTAAAAATATTTACTAATTTATGACAGTGTGATTATGGCAAAAATAGTGTTATTGCTAATTTGATTTTATCAATAAATTTACTATACTTTCAGAACAATAAAACCATTGATTCTCCAACGAATAATTCTACTGTTTAACATTCCTCGAACTGACGAAAGAGCCAAAGAATTGTACATTTTTTCCAGCCTTTTAATAGGACTAATATTCACAGCATCGATTCTGTTCCATCACACCAACTTAAGAAATTGCCTAATCGGCATGAGAATCAGAATTGCTATTTCATCGTTGATTTACAGAAAGGTAATCAATTTCACCATTAGTTTGCATGCAACAGGAAACATAAATTAACTGTGTCTCTGACAATTTCTTCACCTTAAATTACAGATAACCAAGTTGAATTTGACTTCATTGGATAAAACAGCTTCAGGACAAGTGATTAACTTGCTATCGAACGATGTGAGTCGCTTCGATTTTGTCGCAGTATTCATTCACGCTATTTGGGTGATGCCCATTCAGCTGGTAGTGTTGGGATACTGGATGTGGGTCCAAGTTGGTATTTCTTCCTTGACAGGAATTATATCCTTAGCTTTAGTCAGCATACCTCTACAAGGTATGTTTTTCTAAAATGTTTAACATTCTCTTCTAATATGTGCAAGTTATTAGGATACTTGGCGAAGGTTATTGGCCAGCTGAGGTTTTCGATATCCAAAAAAACGGATAAAAGAATAAAAATCATGACGGAAATCCTAAACGTAATGCAGGCGATAAAAATGTACACATGGGAGAAGCCGTTTCAAAAAGTTGTCAAGGAATTCCGTCGCTCGGAAATGAAGGATATTGGAAATATATGTTACATAAGAGGAGTTTACGCAACCTGCGGAGTAATTAATGAAAGATTATCGCTTTTTTTCACCATCATCACCTTTGTCTTATTAGGTGGGCCCAATTTTTGACTTTTTGGATTTCCAATTAATACATATTCGTTGCAGGAAACCGCATTTCAGCCGATTTGGTATTCTCGATTTCGCAGGCTTTTAACATATTGCAACTAATGATGGCAATGTATTTTCCTATGGCTTTGAGTATGCTAGAAGAATCCCTAATTTCTCTAAAAAGATTGCAAGAATTTCTACTAATGGAAGAAAAAAAATCAGCCAAGCACATTGAAAACATACAGAATAAAGGAATTATTTTAAAGGGGATAAACGCATCTTGGTCTGATGATAGAAGGGCATTAAAAGATATATTCCTGCAGATTCCTCCTGGTTCTTTGTGTATAGTAATCGGCTCTGTTGGCAGCGGCAAAAGTTCCTTACTACAGGTAATTACAAAGTGTTCCAGAATCAAGTGGATAATTTACTTTTATTTATAAGACACTACGTAGGTAATAGAAGCCTTTATCCTATTGATATACATTTTCTGTCTATTCACAGGTCCTTTTGGGCGAATTAGCTCCAACATCAGGAAGAATCCAAGTCGGGGGAGAAATCTCTTACTGCTCCCAGCAACCATGGCTATTTCAATCCACAGTCCGCAATAACATAATCTTCGGCACGCCTTTTGACAAAGAGTGGTACGAGAAAGTGGTGAAAGTGTGCGCTTTGGTGAAAGACTTCGATCAATTTCCTCAAGGCGACCTCACGATCGTCGGGGAACGGGGCGTATCCCTCAGCGGCGGCCAAAGAGCCAGGATCAACCTTGCCAGGGCTATTTACAGACAAGCGGACATATATTTCCTGGACGATCCTCTGTCGGCTGTGGACACGCACGTTGGAAAGCATTTATTCGACGAATGCATTTACAAGCATTTGAAGGGGAAGACCAGGGTGTTGGTTACTCATCAGTTGCAGTATTTGAAAAAAGCGGGGCTGATTGTCCTTATGAATCATGTATGAATGTTTGTGTACACTTTCAAACCACTTGTTTCTGATTTTATATGTTTAAAACAGGGTAAAATCGAAGCACAAGGAACGTTTGAGGAGCTTTCCAACATGAAGTTAGATTTTACGCAATTAGTGGGTGCTGATGAAGAAGAAGAGAAACGAGACGAAACTGAAGTCGAAAAAGTGGAAATCTACAAACGTAGAATATCTAATTTGTCTCTTGAGAGTGTAAGTTTAATAGTTATAGTTATAAAAACTTCACGTAACAACTTCATGTCTCTATGTACGTCGCTTGTCCGATAGTGTATAGTCTCTCTAGAACCTATCTAAGTGTCTCGATTCTATTCTTCCTAGGAAGTCTAGAACCCAAAGCAGCTTCAAATAGCATTAGTTCTGATCTTCTACTTAATATGCTCCAAAGTACAATCATCAGCTAAAATGTAAGTACGATTTCTGTTTCTTCTCCGAAGACCTTGCAGTCATCACCTTGTGCTAAACCTAGCTTAGTGAGGTGCCCTATTACTGATAATAGGGCTCGCACAAAAAGAATCCGAGCTCTTTTTTATGTAAATACTTCGTCCCTTTTTCCCTTTATTACTATTTCACCAGAAATGCATTAATTAGTAATTTTAAAGTTTTTCTTAACTGTTGTGTGCAGGCCTTTCCAATTTTATGGATAACAGAGTTTCAATATCTAATTGACAATCTACATAATTATCTTCTATATTCAATTGATGATTCATTTATTTTCCAGTCAATTTCAGATTCGTTTATTGAAAAGGAAGAACCCATAGAGGAGGAAGTAATAGATACAGACAGTAAGCCTCTCCTGGGTTACTTAAAAGCTAGCCAAAAATTTGCTACAATTATTTTGGCTGGGATAGTAGCGATTTTGGGACAAGCATTTTGCGCAAGTAATGATCTTTGGGTAGCATATTGGTAAATGTATTTTAATCATAATTACTTCAAACTATTATATTTACCAATTTTCAGGACGAATAACGAGAGAAAACGCTACTCAAATATCTTATCCAGTACAAATAATTCCGATCCGAGCCAAGCTCGAGAAAATCGCATTGCGAATATTTCATTAAATGCATTTTTCGAGGAAATGGAAGTCGATGGCACAGTGGAAAGTGTTCTCAAAACTGACGTGGGAATGATAATTTACTCCATTTTATTGTTAATGGCTTTTACTCTAACAATATCGAGATCGATTTTGTTTTGCAATGTGTGCAAATCGTCGTCTATTAATTTGCACACTGACATCTTTCGGCGTTTACTTCAAGCCCCTATGAGGTTCTTCGATGTAAATCCCAGCGGTAGAATTCTCAATAGATTTTCCAAAGACATGGGCGCTGTAGATGAGGTTTTGCCCAGGGTTTTCATGTTATCTGCGCAAGTAAGTTATTAATAGTAACTCGATAAAAACCCAAATTATTATGTTAGTAGTTGAGTTTTTATTACAACAAGAATAAACTTTTTATTTCAGGTTGTTCTCGTAATGTGCGGTATATTAGTGAACATTTCAATTTCGAATACTTATTTCATAATTGCTATGGTATTTCTGCTGGCAATATTTTATATATGCAGCAAATTTTTTATAGCAACTACTAAGGCTTTAAAACACATCGAAGGAATCGGTATGTCGATTAAACTAAATTATTAGTTAATTAAATTACTTTAAACAAGCGTAATTACAGCGAAATCGCCAGTATTTTCGCACATCAACTCCACCCTTGGCGGTGTAACTACCATAAGAGCTTCGAAAACAGAAGATGCTTTAATCGATGAATTTGACCAACACCAAGTAAGTCGCTAATTCAATCGAATGAACTAAAATTCACCTGAAAATCTCGTTACAGGATGTTCATACAGCCTCTTGGTTTTTACTAACGTCTGTAACAAGTGCCTTCGGTGTTTGGGTAGACCTTGTATGCGTTATATTCATCGCAGTGGTAACGTTTGGTTTCGTCTTACTATACACCTGTAAGTTTTACAACACCTTTGAATAATTGCATTATTATGCAATATCGTTTTTCAGTTACTGAGGTCAATGGAAGCCTCATCGGTCTGGCCGTGTCCCAATCGATAATCCTCACTGGTATGATGCAAAGCGGAATGCGCACAATTGCAGAAACAGTTAACCAACTTACAAGCGTTGAAAGAGTCTTGCAATATACTAAAATAGATAGCGAGGGACCCTTTGACACTCCTAAAGGTACTTAGTTAATGTAAAGCGATATTTGCATGAATAAATGGTGGATTTTTTAGCGAATGAGCCAAAAGTGGAATGGCCCAGTAAAGGTCTAATAGAATTCAAACAATTAAGTCTAAGATATGTCATTAGCGATCCACCGGTTTTGCATAGTCTCAACTTTACTGCTTTACCCGGGGAAAAGGTAAATTATCTTCAATGTCTTCTTAATAAAGATTTACTAACAAACATCACTTTTCAGATTGGAATCGTAGGTCGTACAGGAGCTGGAAAATCATCCATAATAGCCGCATTGTTCCATCTAGCTCCACTGGAAGGTTCGATTTTAATAGACGGAATCAACACGAAAGACCTGGGTCTGACAGATTTGAGAAAGAAAATTTCAATCATACCTCAAGAAGCCGCCCTGTTCTCGGGGACAATGAGGTACAATTTGGATCCCAATGGAGAGTACGAAGACAAGGAAATATGGAAGGTTTTGGAGGAACTGGATTTGAAGGATAGCATAGAATCTTTGGATGGTAGCGTTTCTGAAGGGGGAAGAAATATTAGCTCCGGTCAAAAACAGCTCATCTGTTTGGCCAGAGCTGCATTAAGAAATAATAAAATTCTTATACTAGATGAGGCGACAGCCAATGTTGATCACCAGTAAGTTTACATTGTTTCATCGTTTTTAATATAAAAGCTTTATGAAACCAGACCAATGTTGGATTCAAACTAAACTTAAACATTTTTTCCAGTACTGATGCATTTATACAGCAAACCATCCGCAGCAAATTTAAGGATTGCACAGTTCTGACCATTGCTCACAGATTGAACACCATTATGGATTCCGATAGAGTATTAGTGATGAGTTTCGGGTCTATAGTGGAATTCGATCATCCCCACAAACTCCTACAAATCCCAGACGGACATTTCCACAAAATGGTGCTGGAAACTGGACCGACAATGACTGAGGAATTGAAAGAAATCGCTTATAAATCGTATTTGGATAAAGGACTTTAGGCAAAGGTAAAAGAAATCTAGTGATTGGCTTTATCGTAAATTGTAAATGGAAATAGTTTTATGTATGTTGTCAGTAGTTTCTGTAAATTAAATATTATGTAGATGTGTAAAAACAATTTTTTTGACGATTTTTACAATTTTTTAAGTGTTTAAGGATGCATAAATATACTAACAAACAAATTACTGGAAAACTCTTGATTTAATTTATTTCTATTAAGATCCAATGCAAATTTCTTTTTAGAAAGCTCTTTCAATTTCTATCAACTTTACAGATTAATTGAAAAATTTACACGTAAATATAATATTTAAAAAATATGTTAATATTACTGTTTAGACAACGCCCAAAAAAGGATTCAATAAATTCAATAATCATTGAACCAAAAACCAATTCTTTCCCTAATTAATTTGGCCTTGCCCAGGCATCATTTGGCATTGCCCAGGCATCATTTCACATTGCCCGTGCATCGAAATGGGGACGATTCTTTCATTGTGCCCTCCAGCAGTGGGAGCCGTGATGCTCAGCACACCGTCATGGGACAACCTAGACTCCAACCTAGACGTATCGCAGTACTTCGGCAAAACGTACTTCCGAACGAAGTGCCTGGAAACATGACCGTGCGGATCCTGCTTCTCCTGGTGCCTGGCTTCGATGGTGACGGCGTTGTCCGGAGTAACTTTCACGGTTATTTCCTCCGGCTTGAACTGCTGCACGTCGAAGTTCGCCTGGAACTTCTGCTTGTCCACGCTCACCGAAGTCACGGCGTTGTCCTGCCGCTGGAAGTTGCCGGCCACGTTCAGCACGTCGCCCAGCAGATGGTCCGGCGACGGGCCCATGATGGCCGAAAACGGGGAGAAAAATTCGTCGAACATTCTAGAATTCCTGCCAGGTCGGCGGTAATGACCGCAACTGCTGCAGTAATTGGACGAATTGGAAGAGGAACTCGGAAGCAATGCCATTTTAGCGTTTGCGATTTTTTCGTGAATTGAAATTTCGATAAAAAAATACGGACTTGAAAGCTTCCTGCTTAACAATGTGCCAAATGGATTCAATCTGACAAAACATTTCAGACGACACTGTCAAGAATAGTTTTTTTGTCAAAAGTTTATATCTATTTTTCTCCTAATTAAGAGCACAAGTATTTAGATTGTAGAATTATTCTTCTAATTTTTAATGTTTAATGAGTTGTTTCTTTGAATTTAGAATTTAATTGGTGGTAATAACTAGATACCACTAGATATTACTAAAATAATTAAATCGCAAAACAAATAGTTGACTTTGCTCTCTGATTCTGGTATATTCTACTCTGTTAAGAAACAGGTTTATCTAGTGCAGGAGGACGAAATAAAAAAAACGTACATTTTAATTAATATATTTCTCTCTTCTGTAAAACAAAAACAACAATTAAGTTATGGCAAATTTTGGCATTGAATGCTTTGGCATTAAACCCCATTGAAAATAAAATTAATACTTTCTAACAGAACAAGATAATATATACACAAATAAAATTATTAATATATTTAAGAAAATTGCTGGTAATACTACTGTATTATTCATTTCTAAAGTCGTGTGAAAATACTCTTGTAAAAATACTCTATGACTAAGGCAATGTTAACACGATAAAAATTTATTAATATTTAAGTAAATTTTCCGATGAATTAAATTAGGTATAGTAATTATCACTAGAAGTCTGACTAAATTACTTCCATTTTGCAATCGTCTGCGGATTGCTTATCACTAATTTCCATCCCATCTACTAATTCACCTGTTTGTACATTAACGAATCGTTTCTCACCGTCGTTATTATTAAATTTACTAGAAACATCTCCGTTGCATTCTTTGCTATCGTTCTCTTCGAAGACGACTTCGTCGTCCTGCTTCACTAATTTCATATTATCACAAGTCATGAATCCCTCCACCTGTTCGGTCTTGTTGCCCGCGAAATGGAGCTTCTTGTGTTCCCGCAAAAAGTGACTTTGTGGCACGGAATAATCACAGTGTTCGCACGCGTACGTGCTGTTGTTGCCAGACACGCAGGCGTGGCGTTTCTGGTGATTGTCCACGGCGTCCTTCCTGTTGCTCGTGTAAGGGCAGAAACAGCACGAGATTTTCTTATCGTCATCTTTAACCGGCTCGTCTTGCTTCGGCTCCGCCAAAGCATCGATCTGCTGGTCTTCTCTCGCAGCCTCCAAGTCCTCGTCTATTTCCAGGTCGTCGTCGGGCCGGAACGTCAGCGTGGCGTGCGCCTCGTCGTTCAACTTGTGCTTCTTCACGTGCTGCACGTAATTGGCGTAGTATTTGACGGAGTAGTCGCAATCGTCGCACTTGTAGCGCTGCTTGGAGCCGTGCAGGCCCAGGTGGATCTTGTACTGTTCGCGCTTCTCGAACGCCGTCGGGCACATGTGGCACTTGTAGCGCTTCTCCTTCGGACGGCCGTTCTTCATCGTCGGCTGATAGATGAAGTCCGGATTGCCGCGCATCAATTCCGTTATGTCGTAGTCGAGGTTTCGTTGCGGAGACGGTTCGCGGGACATCTCCATTTCGGCGGCGTGCTTCTGCTCCGCCTCGGACTTTTGCAGGAAGAGGTCCGTTCCTGACAATGGCACATTCTGAGACGATTTCACGGGTTTGTTCAAAATGCTGCAAAGCGTGCTCATGTCGGTGGTCGATTTGTTGTCGATCACGTAGACGTGTTCGCCGTTTTCCAGTTTCACTGATTGTATCTTTGGTTGGGAGTAATTGGAACATGTCACGTACATGTTTTGTAATACTTTGGTTCTGTCTTGGTACTCGTTTGTGTGCACTTTGGAATGGGTAACTAAATGGGGGTGTTCTCTGGATGTGTAGGTGCAATGGTCGCATTTGTATTTCAATTTGGAGCCGTGGAATCTTTTGTGTATTCCAAATTCGTTTTCCTTGAGGAATCTGGCCGGGCATTCCTTGCAGAAATAGAGGACCGTTCCTGTTCCGGACGAGCTGTCTATTTCGTCGCTTTCTAGTACGCTGTAATCAGTTGGTTCTTCTTCTTGGGAAGTGTCGATTTGTTGGACGCCAACGGCTCGACTTAGCTCTTTAATCTGTTCTTCATCGCTGCGTGACGGGTCTACCAGGCGGTGTACGGTTCCGTACAAACCTTGATGTACTTTAGAATGCGAAGATAGTACTCCAGCGTTGGCGCAAATGTAGTTGCATTCGGTACACTTGTGTTCAACGTCGTTCGGTTTGGAACCGCTGTGGTTCTTTTCGCGGACGCTGTGCATCTTTTCGTGCTCTTGAATGTTGACTTTTCTCAAATTAACGTGCGGACAGTACCGGCATTTGAACATCTTCGAAAATTTCCCGTTTTTGGACACCCAAACCAGCGGAATGTCCGGCAAACTCTGTAGATCGACGTTGAATTGATTGGGCACTTCTTCGATATCCTCCGCCAGGTCGTCGAAAAAGACGACTTCGCCGTTCTGCTTGTGGGTCGCCACGTTTATGCCGTGCACCTTGAGGTGCTGGTGGAGCAAGTGCCGCTTGCTGACGTTGTACGAACAGTGGGTACAAGTGTACTGACCGCCTCTGGGCTTGTGGAACTGCTTGTGGTAGGTGAATTGGGACTTGGAGTTGGTGTCGTACGGACAAGTCTGGCATTTGAATTTCTTCCCGTCACCTTCGGCGTTGCTCTTCTCGGCCAATTTGATCCGGAAGTCGTCGGGATCGGTGATGCCGTGCAACTTGTAGTGGTCGTTGAGGTCCTCCAAATTGTTGACGTAGAATTTGCAGTATAGGCATTTGTGTATGCTGTCTTCGACGGGCACGTGGCCGGAAAGGTGGCGGTCGTAATTCTGGCTGTCGTCCGTAGAATAGGGGCAGATGGTGCATTTGAAGGCGCCGTTTTGGGCGACGTCGACGTGGTCTGGCTCGTCGGTCAGTTCCTCTACTTCAATTTTTTCTTGACCGTTTTTGCTGCTTATGACCCGGATATCTCCACTGTGCTTCAGCCGACAGTGTCTCTAAAAATACAAAAAAAAACATATTAGAGCAAAGTTCTTTTAAGGTAATATTCAACGATATATAACAACTACAAACAGCAAAGCGAATTTAAAACTACAAGCCCATAAAAGCGTGTTAGTTGCAATGGAAATATTGTAAAAAAACTGATCAAATTTTTCACATTTCACGAAAGTATTTCTTGGGTTAAACCCCGCTAAAGTAGGTAATAAATATTACTCGGAATATTTTTATTATGTATTGGTAACGTTTATGTGGATCTCACGATTTTTCATGATTATTGTGCACGGCAAGAGTGACCATGTTTCCGTTCTGTCCTGCTATTCTACAGGTACAAGTATTTTAATTATTTGGTGCATGTTCAAACGCTTCAAAAAATGTTAACTAGGTCGGTTTTCATTATTTCCTTTGAAATAATTGATTTACTCTTTGAAACGAATAAATATTTGTCACTAAGGTGCATTCGTAATAAAGATATTGATCATATCTTTCTCTAACATATTTTAGATATCAAAATACTCAATAATTCCTACTAGAGTATCTAAAATTGCACAACACGAGTGAATTTATAAACGTAAGTCTCGTAATTCTTAAAAACCAATTATAGAAATTAATACATTTGAAACGTGCACGTCATAATTTACCAATAACTAAATCCACTGATATCAGAGATATATTTTTTTTTCAACTTTATTAGCTTTTTCGAACGCACGTAAAGAATCGAATAGTTGGCATATTAAATATTACACTTGATAATTGAATTGGTTAATTTTTTTACTTCTTATCGCATCTTATATTTCTTTCTTATCGTGTCTTTCCAGGTAATTCAATTTAATTTCGATATGACATGTAAAATGCAATCAATTGAAAACTGTGAAGATAAGAAACAATGGACGTACTGAAAATTAATTGTGAAATTCAATTAAAAAAAAGAATTATAGAAGAACATTTAATTTTTACGACAGGAAAAATCCATACGTATCGGTTTATTTAAGTACTGAATGCTAGGTTTCTTTTTCATCCATGAATTTTAAATCAAATGTGTGGTCAAATAATGCTTGTAGTTAAGCTTGAAAAAATTAAGAGATAACAACTGCAGAAGACAGCTCTATAAATATCTCGAGCTCCATAAAATATCCTAAATCGAGCTTGTGAATGAAGTGTAGAGTTCAAAAGTTTAGGCGAATTTCTATACGAATTATTGATTGACAGACTATAGACTTAGTTAGAATAGTTTTTAATAAAAAGGCTACTTGTATGCATTTAAATGCATTTTGAATTCTTGCATATACCTAGGTACATTACCAAAGAATTGAAGAAATGATTTGGTTGTCTCTAATAAAAAAGAATAGATTACAGACTCGTGTTCTGTTTGCTGCATACAATCTTTTATCACCTGATTTTGTACAAATGTTTACTTTCCAACAGTTTCTATCGTAATATGCAAAATTATTAGGCTAATTTAATTTTAACAACGCTGTAAGAGGCAAAACGTTACGTTGAATACCCAATTTTAACGTTTAATAAACGGATGGGAAAGCGAACTCTATTTGAATTTTGAATAATTAATACAATATATTGATGAGCTTAAAGCTCCATGCTCACTATTACTATTGTGAGCTTTATTCAATTCCATTAAAATTACATAAAATTGACGTCAGTTCCCCTATTGCCATTCAATAATACACAAATGCACATTAAAAATTCAAAATGTATAAAAATGCAATAGCACTCCCAATTATTTATATGAGACATTAAAGCTATGTTTGTTTGTATTGAATATGATAGTAAAAACAACACATACACCTACTACATCAAAGCACACAAATGGAATATAATTCATTTTTTCGACACATCAATAAAACATGTACATATCTACAGATATTAATTAGTAATAGTTCTAAATAGACGTAAGCACATACATAATAAACATTTCGTTAGTCTAAATTTAACCATGGGATGTTACAAGGCGTTTTTCATTAAACATTTCAAGTTACTCACCAGTAAATAATTTCTTTTATTAAGGCGTTAATTCAAATGTTTTTTTGTTTGTTTAATGTTTCAATAATGTGTACACACACAAAGATGAATATTGGAACTTGATAATCTCCGCATGCAAATTCGCAATGAAAAAATATTGTAATAGATATTAATTAAAAGACACGTTATTAAATCGGTTAGTTAACAACTAATAGTTACACAAAATAGGCTGATGTCGATTTTTAATTAGCAGGATAAAATTAAAAGTAATGGACTTTCTTCTTATTTTTCAAATAATTATTTTAAGGCAATTAACGCAAATTACTTTTTGCTATTAGCGCTTCGACATTTATCTGTAAATTTTAAGGACGCCTCCTTTTTTTCCTAAACAAGAAATGCAGAATGTGGCAAAAAATTTTCACTTACGTCACGCCGCCATTATAGATAATGACATATATTTATAGTGTTTTTCGCAATGTCCTTGATATCTGGACTCTGGAAAAAGACTAACGAAACGTTTTCTAGATGATAATGAAGCAAACGAGCGTAATCAAGTGGGCAAACTGTACAAATCAGAAACTACAAATGATCTACTTGCAGTTGTCAAATTCTCAAAATTGTCAACATTGTTTCAAATATCTGTTAAAGTGCAAGTAATTGAATCGGCCATTTTGAAATTAAGATATCAAAACTATCATAAGTCAGCTGCAATTTTCAAGTTAGCCACAAAATGGCGGATGAAACAACTTACACGATCATAGCCTTCGTGATTACTTTCGTAGACTCAAACTTCGCAAAAAATAACAAAATGGAAATGAAATAAACCACAAGTTAATGCTGTTAGTAAACGTGTTAGTATACCTGGATGACATGCTTCCAGTTAGATACCTGGTTGCAATGACCGCACCGGAAGGGTGCTGTACCTGCTCCCTTCCCGCCATTTATGTTATTTACACTTGCCTCATCTCTATCAGGACTCGTACCCCTTAAACTCAAATCCTGCGCTACGTCCAGTTGATTGTGGACGCCGCTTAGGCTGCTCGATGGTCGATCCGGCGCCAAGGATAGCAGACCGTGGTTCTGGGTCATGGGTGTCGATAGCTGAGGCTGGTGATAGTGACCTTTTACGTGTTGCAGCAGGATGTCTCTGGAGGCGTGCCTAAAATAATCCCGAAAAACATGTAAACTCTTAAACATCTCCATTAGGTGAAAGATCTTCCTTAATCTTAAAGTAGCATTAGGTCTAGATCTAACAGAAGAGCCAACTGATTTCCTATTATAAGAAATCCCCCCAGTATAGCCACCTCTTTCCCTAATATGAAGTTATAATGAGCTAAAAATCCCATAAATTATCTTTAAAAATCATAGGTTCATAAGTCTTACTAAAAAAATAATTATCTATAAAACAGTTTGTGTCTAAAAGAAAAAAAATAACAATAAAACGACGAAGATAACGTAAACCTCTCAAAAACAATTTATTTCTTGATAAAACTTGTTTAGAATGTATTTTATAAGTTACGAGAGGCAAATCTGAAATGAGATGACAAAAAACTTTATTTATTGAGAGAATACCTTGAAAAATAAAACTTTTTTAATTTGCAAGTTTACAACTTCTCCAATTGAAAAATCAATAGATCCGGTAATGATCTAATTTCTAAAGCACCATTACTCATACATAATGAATGAAGTTAATTAGGTAAGAGCAGAAACCTCAAATCCGTGCTTCATCTATTTTGCAAGTATTAAATACAATAGAACCACAAATACTATCAAAAAACAATGGGATAATAAATTTAAAAATTTATGTAAATTGCAAAATACAAAGTGGGCATGCAAAAGTAACCTATAAAAATTATTTAGAATTGAACTAATTAATAGGGAGTTTGTTTATTTTCGAAACTAATTCCTTCAAAAACCATTCTCTAATACATAGGTAACAAAAGAGGTATCCGGAAATTTGGAATAAAACGCAAAATTCCCAATCTTCAAGAGATAATATTTCTTGGGTGTTCGTTAAAATTAGGTTTCAGCTCCTGCGAATTTTCTTTGATTGCATTTATGGAGTTAAAACAGGAATGCCGAAATGGCAATTTGAGTTTGAGAAACAAAAAAATGTACCAATCGTAAAAATGGATTTTCGATAAAACAGAGTCACCTTAAGTAGGTACTTGGATCGATTCGGCCAACGAAATTCTCTTTAAAACCCGAAATTTTAAACAAACTCTTTTTTTTAATTATTTTTGTCTATTGTAAAATACGCAGAGCACTACTGAGATGGCCTGATACAATCAGCTGCTACAAACAAACTGATTGAGAAATCTCTTCAATTTTTTGCATGCTAATTATTAAGAACAGTGTTACCTACATACATACATACGTACATACAGTAACTTGAAATAGTTAAAAATATTAAGCACAGGTAATGTAAATCAGAACTTCCGGGTACCTTTTTTGTCAAAAGGTAAGTATTTGGTATGGTAAAATTAAGTAAATTTTAAAATAAGCAAAAATTAAATTCCATACATATGTATGTATAAAGAAGTCTTATTAAGTAAGAGAATAGTTTCGAAGATTGTGGCAAATTACTGGCAATTCAACTGAGCTAATAATCACCGTTTTTCACAATCTCTCTATTCGCAGTTTTTCCATAAATTTCTGCCGTATTGCCTACACAAAAGATAAGAAACTCTTTGTCCGTGGCAAAAACATCCATAAAAACATTCTTTACCTGCCCATAAAAAATTATCAACGCATATATGTAATTCCCAATCGATATTTTGCAATAATTCGTGGCGAAAACAAAACTGTTCGTTAGAAAATTGACATGGTTACAAAGGAGCGATAAGAATTGAAAATGTTGACCTTGAGGCTGCAGGCACGTTCTTAACGTGAAAATGCACATAAAAAAACACGAAGAGTTTCCAATTAAAAAAATAGATACTACTCATTGTCGAACTAATCTCGAACATTCCTACTGACTACGTTATTCTAGATATTGCGATTTTACGAAGAAGAATACCAAAATTTTTTGAATAAGTACTTCAGGAGAAATCATTACCATCGTAAGTCTACGAAAACAACATGTTAATATTTCCGTAAATATCGATATTCAAATGACCTACTCTTTGTCTTCGCACATAAAATGTATTATAGATAAGATTATTTGTTGATTAATTCATACATTCCAAAGAAGTTTAAAGGAATTTAAACGTAAACGCAGGTAAATGTTTGGGTAATAGCTCAAAGAAGTCCTAACTAACTTTGAGTTTCCATAAATGCAATTTAAATGCAAATAAATAATCCCATAAATTTCCCAACGATAAATCTAAACAAAATTACTCAGACTCTACCTATTATATTTTCAATGATATTTCATAATATCTGTTAATGGTGGGATTTTGAAAGCGATCGCCGGTCATAAATGTAACCAATTTGTCACACAACCAATAAAATTGTATTTATTAACTAAAAAATATTTAATTAAATTCAATAGCAATTTATTTTTAAATTCGCAAAGTTCTTTCAAATCCACTTGTAATTAAGGAATTATTCGTATCAAAAAACAAATGATAGATATACGAAATTATTCAACTTCTTGCAACTTGCCAGCAATTATAATCTATTAAAAACAATTAATTTCTAATAATAGAATTAAACTTTAATGAATCATATTGATTTTTACCAGGCTAATAAATAATGTATTTTTTATGTTAAAAGTACCTAATCCAGGCTTTTTGAGTGTTCAATGTTTTATTTGGCATGATTGTAAAGTATTTAATCAAGATGAATTGTGAAGAATATATGTAATCAGATATTAATGAGTGACATACCTACATAAATGTTTAAAAGAATCCTTTGAACATTTTGATAATTTTGATATTTCTAACTTTACGTTTTACTTGCAATGATTTTGACGTAATTAGTCAATATATGTATTGTAATTCAACTTAAAAGATAAACAAAATAAAAAACAAAAATAAATTATACATTCCTAAATTTTATGGCATTAAGCAGACATGAAATACATTTTAACTGCAAACAAATTTCAAAATTTAAAGCAGCAGAATTTAAATGTAATATTATTGCAGTTGCCAACTAGCAAATCAAAGTATAATTATTTCTTTATTCTCAGACCGCGCATGATTTTGATTAGTACATAAATTAGTACACTCTTGTTTTCTGCGCTGGATTAAAAGTAATTCTCTTAAAAAACAACAGCAAACCGAAACAACATGATCGTAGGAAAACAATGAGAAGTAATCTTGCATTCGTAAAGAGCAAAAACCAATACCACCTAATTTGCAACAAAAACGTGTTATTAAAACGATTATTATTCGCGGTATTTTTCCTTAAAAATACATTCTTGTAATCTGCAATAGTAACCATCTTGTTTTGTAAGTTTATTATCATTGTTAGACTGTCATCTATTATTTATTGTTTTTGTTTTTTTCACGACTGAAGCCATCGCAATTGTTTGCTCAAGAATATTATTTTCATAGGAGCACCAAAGCATAAACAAAAAGCACTTACTTGAAATTACACTTTTTGCATTTGTATTGGGTCCGTTTGCCCTCGTTGCTGCTGCGTTTCTTGTCCACTATCTCAGTCACGAAGGACCCATCGGATATCTTCATAGACGGCGGAGCCCTCAAAGGCGAATTGCCCTTCAGCATCATATTGAAATCGCTATTGCCAGAAGTCTTGTTGGCCTTCAAGTCCGATTTGCTGGTAGACGGCGAGGAGTTCCGGTCGTGGTGCTTAGGCCTGGTGCCGCAACCACCGCTGGTATCCATGCTCTGGGCGCCGGTAACGGGTATCTCAGTCAGGTACTTGTTGTATTTGGTATAGTTGCGCCTGCCGGTCTCGTCGGTCATCAGGACCTTCGCGGACTCGTGCGCCTGGTCTCTCACGGACTTTAGCTTTATGTGCTTGGTGATGTCCCATCGCCAATTGGACTTGTAGGCGCACAAGGAACACTCGAAGGGCTTCTTGTTCAAGTGGCCTACGATGTGCACGTGGAAACGCGAGGCCGTGCTCGCCCAGAAGGTGCAATGCGGGCACTTGAAGACACGCTTGTGTTGGGCTATCGATATGTCGTTGCCGTGAGTCGGTATCTTGTCCGTACTGGGTATAGGCGAATGTTGAACGCTGTTGGGAGTCACTGATTCTTGTCCTAAGCCGCTGTGCTCGCTGTCCAACGGCGATTGGGTTCTGATCGATAGATCCAAAGAGACGTTATCGTCGATTCTATCGTCCGTGTATTCGTAATTCGAATCGTCGACTTCGATGTCCATGGGAACGACGATGTCGTTCCAAACGAACACTTTGTTCTCCATGGGGTGTGGTTTGTTGTCGGGTTCGTCTTGGCCTTCGTCGATTCTCAGCTCACCTTCGGTGTCCGATTCCTCTTCTTTGGGTTCCATCGAGCTTTGGGCTTTGCGCGCCTCGGGGCACGTTTGCAGATGATTGTAAAGGTCCGTGCTTGATTTGCACCTCTGCCTGCAGAATTGGCATCTAGACGAACTAATGTTATGTAAAGGTATGATAGATTGGTTCTTGTTGGTTTCCTTTCCGCATGATTTTTGGTGCTTAGCGTGTTCGGTAAGGCACTTGCTTTCGTGTCCGCAAATGTTACAAGTCAAATTACCGTTTTGGAGCGTGCCTAGTTCTAACTTTTCCCTAAGGCTATCGAAAAAAGAGGCGTTTTTCTGCTTGAAATCTTCCGTCGACTTATTACTTTTAGTTGAGGTATAATTGTTATTGTACACAGCAGCAGGTATGAGATCAGGTACTTTAGGAGTCATCTTGAATACATCTTCCGAACTGAACAGCGAAGCAAAGTCCTTCAGCACGCTGTTGGAGCTCTTCGCGCAGATGTCGTTGATGTCCTTTTGACTCATGATGGGCTCGCCGGGGTCCGGCAGTTCGAATTTCGGCTTCTTGAGCGGCGACACCTGCGAGGGTATTGGAATGAGATTGGGCACCGGTCGCGAAGGCTTCTTGATCACCGGCTTGCTGTCTTCCCTATCTATGTTGTGCGCCCGCTTCTCGTGCTTGGCCATCTCACTGTCCCAAGCCGACTTGAAATTACAATATTTGCATTTGTTCTTGAAGTAAATCTTGCCATTAACATGGTGGATTATGTCATCAGGGTTGATGAAGTCCGAATCCTTCCCATCGGCGCCGAAGTCCAACTTGAACTTGCCGGAGGGCGCTTTCACTTTGGGCTTCCTGTCGTCGTCTTGCAGCACTGGCGAGCGGGGCTCACTTTTGACGATCTGCAACACAAGAAAACGCGGCGTCAGTTCAAAGACATCATTCGGCTCGGTAATTTTTTTTTTTCGTGCAAAACGCGATTTCTTTCGTTCGGCCCAGAGCAAAGATCGGCGTTGTGTATTATCGCATAGCGTTAGAGGTACTGCACACAAATAAGCGCGCTGCGATAAGCGGTATCAGCAGGTATAAGGCGCACCTATGCGAAAATGTTACCCACCTAAGTTTGGTTTCATTATTTTTTATTTTCGACCAGGACCGTCTTCGGTTTATTGCGTGCCAACAACAAACAAATTCGTTGTTGTCGAACTAGTGAATAGCATTTAAATGTAATTCAGGTCGACATTTTTGTATTTTTAAATCGTTTCTAAATGGTGAATGCGTACTAAAGTAGTTACCTAGCTAAAGGTAGTTTTTCAAAATGGTTTTTAACATATTTTAAAGAGTTTTTCGGGAGTTTAGGTGTATGGAGAGATTTTAAAAGGTTTCCAGGATTCTTATGGATTTATTTAAAGTTTTGTGTGACTATAATAGAAATTTCTTGTTTTTTGTATAAATTCCATTTTATACAAAGATAAAAAACAATCCTTTTTTTATTAAGACTCAGCTAGTAGACTGTATTGTCCCAAAAATATCTTAATAAAATCAGGGACAATCCTAAAATTTTGACATAAATATAGGTAATACTTTAATTCAGAATAATGCATTTACCATTCGTCTAAGTCCACATCTGAGCATCTTGCATTCTTTTAATGGTTATCGTGCTTTTTTAGCTAATCTTAGGTTAAATTAGAACTAGGCTTCAACGCGTACATAACTTTTGCAATAAACGCTGATTACACGTCAAATAGGTAAATACGATACGGTCCTTTGAGAATGGGTTAAGATGGGAAATTCGTGAGTCATGCGTACCGACGAAGATTCTACGTGACGCTATATTTCGTCTATACAACCGTTCTAATCAAACAAAATTGTACTGTTAACATATCCGTTTTGGTTGGGCGATAAGAAATTGGAATTCAGGTGATTAGGAATCGGTATTACTCCTTTTACGATAACTCGTTTTATTAGTAAACGCCAAAGGGCGCCGGTCTGTTTGGTTTGGATACCTATAGTATCTAAATTCGCCCATTGTTTGTAGAAAATTGCATCGAATAATCAAGAAAACAAAAATGAACAAGTCATTAGATATTCACGAGAACTTTTCATTACTAATGAAATTTCTTAAGACTCACTGACCAGGTTAAATAGGTATACTTTATTTTAAAGGTTGGTTTTTTTTAGGAAATTTATTCCAAAATGCTATTGTAAAACGACAAACGGCTACTATTTGACTACAATTTAATATGTAAAAAAATTCTAAAATTTAAATATGGATCGGTGTTAAAACGAAAGAATGAACGAAAATATAAATATGCTTATTCAATCAGTCAAAAATATAATAACTATTGTGAAGAATCGACATTAAATTCGAAAGCCGAAAATATTTTTTGAAGAAGTCATGTTGGCTTGAATCATGCCGGTCGATATTTCAAAATAATTCTTCGAAGCAGCAATAATAGCATTTTTTTCAATATAGAAAATTAGGCGTTCGAGTTATTTTGTTTGCGAATATTTAAATTCGAACATGTAAATTAATAAATATATTTTACTTTTTGGAAGTACTTCAGGAATTTTGACTTTTAGAATGCCGTGATTCAAGCCAATGCACTAGCACTAACTATAAATAAAATCGTTTAAATTCCAATATTTCAGTCGAAGAATTTTTTGTCGATTTTTATATTTCCTGTTGAATAAATGTCTTGCAATTACAATTTCCGCCACTTCTCCACAAAAAAATTACCTCAAATTAGATTTCTTAATAATCAAATTCTTTTGAATTTTTTTGGCAATCTCAATGACTTTTGTGAGCATTATTTTTGATAAGTCATTATTACAATCTTGTAACATTTTTTTGTAATATCTTAGTAAAAATATCCTTCAATATTCCACATTAACTTTGTATCTACATAAAAGTTAATTTCAACATGTTGAATAGTTTGATTCTTGTATAACGAGTATACACAATTTTCTTTTTATAGAGCATGTTTCAAATTCACAAAGTAACTTTTAATAACCCAAGTGAGCTCAAAAAGTTGTTAACCCACAAATTAAATTCAATGCTAACGTCAAAATTATCTTTTAATTCCCATTATAATTACGTTAATTAAAAAAAACGAGCTTCTTCGTACACAAACGTTACGTATGCTCTTAAAATTTATAATATTTTTCGTTATTTAAATGCAAACACTAATCGAAATGACGCCGCGGATCTCGTGACCAAACATTAATAAGCAAACACATACGAACAAATAATAAATTTTACGGAATTTTCTGCATCCTTCTTCGGTTACGTAAATAGCTAATTGATGGTGAAACAGGTTGTTAAAATCCATTGTTTTTGTTGCAGATTTAAACATAGACATTATTTGGTGCAGCCAAACGATTTATTTCTATAATTTCTCAGATCCTTTAGCGACTAAGAAAAAAGCGGCGAGCAATTAAATTGACCATTGGAGAATTTTCCGAGTTGGAACTTCGTTTCTATACATGTTTTTGTGTTTTTACGTCCGTCTGAACAACCTTGAAAATGTTTTATTTTTAATTACAATTAATTAGTGCACATATTTATTTAATGCTATAATATGTGTACAATGGTATTATAAGCCCTTTAATACTTACACTTCGCCGTTGTTTTCATTTGTAAAATGTTAATTAAACAAAAAAATATCCCATCCAAGAAATTAATCATCTTTAGATCAAACTATACTATAAGTTTACCTACAAGTTTCTAAATTATCCCCTTTACTTTTTCTTGCTTTTCTGATACCTAGGTATTTAAGAAGTAGGCAAATCAAAAAGACTTTTCCCCTATTTTTATTCAAATTTGCACGTCAATATTCCGTATGCCAGTCCGCTATAATTCAAAAACGCACGTGTAGCCAGCGAAATAAACTTCATAATAGACAATCAAGACCAAACAAGTAAAATTGATTTTAAAAACGGGAAATGCACGACTCGATAAAACGAGAAAAGTAAGTTATTTAGAAATTGGAAACCAGCCAAAAACAAAATTGAAAAAGATAGCTAATTTATTATTGAAATAACTAAATTGGGTAGACTGCATTTCTTATGCAGGTATAAGAATACAATAGTTCTTAAGGTACTTATACTTAAATAATAGGAAAAAGATGAAATATGGGTTGAATTTTCATTTATACGGTGTAAAAAAAGAATTATTAGTGATTAAGAGGCGAGAAAATGAAATAAATTAACTATAATTCTACGTTTCGAGAAAATATCTAAAAATAAAATTGGTAATTGTAATTGGTAATGGTAATTGTTCTTTTAAATTCGAATAAAAAATTAATATATCTATAGCGAATTAAAGAAGACAATTTTATAAAACAATGAATTTCAAAATTGCAAATTTTGAACATCGCAACTCAGCTAATTCATTCATTGCGTTCGTTCGTAATCCTAACAAATAATCTAATAACATACCAAAACAGCAAATCGGACGTGGAAACGGCGGAAATTCGGAAAAGAAATGAACGAAACCGAAACGCACACAACAAAAAATCCACCGAATGCAACGGCCAAGGATGCACGAATTAAAACGGATAAAAATTTGCCGCCACGGTCACAGTTGCATAATAATAACATCGACTTCCTCGCATATTTAATTTTTCCCCGAGTTTTATCTCAAAATAAATATCGCGGCTATAAATAAGGCGGAGTGCGGGACAACATTTTTCGATCGTCGCCGCGTCAACACGTCGATTTTCCTTTTCGGATTTTTCGTTCCAACTAGCGGTACCTTTTTCAAACAGATGAGCCGCCGCCAACGTGAATTTACCGCGATGCTATTGGTCAAGACCGCGACCAGCGGCGCACCGTGGCCTTTAACCAAGGTTGCATTAAGCCAATTCAATGCGTGCAGGACACAGTTTTTTTAAATGGTACCATAATCATTTCACACCAATTCGAACGCTTAGATTTGACAGAAAATTATGCAAATGAATGCATATTATATTAGGAAATTTTCTTTAAATAAACAGTATATCTCACTTTACTTTTACTCAATACAGTACCAACCAAAAATTATTTATTCTTTGTATAAAATACATACACAAAATACTACATAAATTAAACCACCCCCAATTAGCCCATTATAGTGGAGCGCTTATTACTGGAATTGTTTGAAAGTTCCAGTTAAAAAAATTACACGGCATGTTAATATTATTATTTTAGCATTCAATACCCTACGGCCCAGCACGGATTACGCCACAGTGGGATTCATAAGGCCGGGTCTGTGCGTATATTATACATTATATACACATAATGACGTGTAAAACGTAACATCGAATTATGTCGTAATGCAGTTCGGGACCTTGACCGAACGAAATGATTCATATTAATAATTCACTTGATGCGACGAATAAATATATTATAGGAATAGTAACTGGTATAATGGATAACGTAATTAATCATGTGTACGACAGTGGTGGAACGAGTGCTTATTTCCGCAGGTATTTGGTATTCGAATGATAAGCGATCGAGAACGCAGCGCGACCGTCTAATTTGTTAGTACTAATGAATGTGGCATTAAAATGTCGGTTGTAGGTACTAATCGATATGATGACATACGGAATATTCGTTGATTCTTTCGATATTTACTTGAATAAATTTAATTCCGAAGAGTCACAATCTATTAGATGTTGGTGCATAGAGATGACGGTGGAATCGAAGTATGTTGGGCATTTTTTTAGGTAATTATCAAAAATATGTCCCGCGTACTTTGAATTAAAAATTAACCTATTTTTGTAATTTATGATAAAAAGAGTAATTAGGTAATTCAAAAAAGTGTCACCAGATAAACGACAAAAATATGTACGTACCTATGTGTGTATGTAAATTACTGAATTTATTATCCTACAAGCCTAATAAATAGATAACCCACAAT